ATATATATATAATATATATTATATATATATTAATAAACATAATACATTCAGAGAAAAACATAAACATGAATACAATGGCACAATGTATCAAACATCATGAATTTCCTCCAGCTCCTCCGAGGCTGGACGCGAGCCAAATATGCAGCAAGCATTTCCCCTCTGGATGGCTACGCTGAGGCGCTGGAACATGAAAATGGCTGCCCTTGGGTCCCTGGTGGTGTCGATGAGTCTGGAACCCAATTCTTTAAGGAAACGTTTAGCATTTTTTCCCCATGATCCCAAGGTCTCTGATCCCACTGGGACAAATTGATACTGTTGGCTTATGTCCCTGTACTTGCTGATCTTGTACTCCTCCCTGTGGTCAGCAGCTCCTTCCTGTCGCCCCACACTGATGGATATAGGTGTCAGCCAGCTTGGACACACAGGTGTAGTCCCACGCTAAGAGCTTGCCATTCTTCCAAGGATAGATGGTGATCCCGTTGGGGCGGTTTGCTGGGTTGTGGGTATTGTTGGCTGCTAGTGATCGGATCTCCCTCTCGTGACGCTAGTACACCAAACAGGAATGAGAATGAAATTTGCTTAGAAGCCCCCACACCTCCGTATGCCCTCGGATGGCGGCCCAACAGCTAGCATTGCTGGCTGCGCCATTCTTGTAGGGTTGGGTGGTCCTATCGCTTACCATGCGGCAGGCCAGTACAAAATGGGTTCGAATCCTTGGCTAGCGCAGTGTTGTTATTGATCAATACCACTCGTCCGTGGTTACAGTAATATATATATATATATATTATATATTATATATATATATATATATATATATATATATATATATATATAAACACACACTGTGTATATGTGTGTGTATCTTATTATCCTATGTCACTGATAATTCCGTAACTAATATAATGTGTGTGTGTGTGTGTTATATTTCCCAGCTGCGGAATCATCATAAATATAATATAACAAGAGTTCATACAAACATATATGAAAATCAAATCAAAATATAGATCTTTTGATATTAATTCATTTCACACTGCGTGGAAAAATTGATGTGGCAAATAAATCCGGTCTAAACGACCAGCTGCCACGAGAATCATGTTACATTTATTAACGTGGCCGACGTAAACCATGTAACTGGTACGTGACACATTAGTAGCTAATAAAACTCTTTCACAACACACACACACACACACACACCACACACACACACACAAACACACACACATACAAACACACACACACACACACACACACACACACACACACACACACACACACACACATACACACAGTTGTCAGGCAGTGGAATAGCCTAGAAAGTGACATAGTGGAGGCGGGAACCATACATAGTTTAAAGGCGAGGTATGATAAAGTTCATGGGGCAGGGAGAGAGAGGACCTAGTAGCAATCAGCGAAGAGGCGGGACCAGGAGCTATGACTCGACCCCTGCAACCACAAATAGGTGAGTACAAATAGGTGAGTACACACACACACACACACACACAACACACACACACACACATAATACAGTACATAAAAAAAACAGGGCGATTATTCAAGAAATGTCAGGAAACCACATACAAATTTATTCCAGTAAGGAAGGAAGAGATTACTAAACAGAGTTTGGATATAAGCAGCATATATGAAAAGGAAGCAGCAAAACAGGGCACTAAACAGAAGAGCAACATTACATAAAGGGCTAAAACAGAGCTTAAACTCATGGACTGCCACGTAAGAAAGTAAATAACAGTACGATAATAACATTCAATTAGGAGGAAGATGAAATAATAAAAAGATGAGAGGAAGGTATGTGAACAATTGTTAAATAATCGTTCAAAACATTTTGAACTTTGTTGAAAGTTGTACAAAAAACCGACAAACCGATAAGGAGTAAGATACATGTTAAATAATTGCAAATGACTTACTCATCATTAAGCACATTATACACAGCTCATTTAAGGTCCATCATGATGCATACAGCGGCATCATGAATTCCACACTGAGCAAAGGAAGTTGAGAAATCTAAGACGACCTCTTGGTTCACCACGAAGCTGCTGCTCGGGCTAGGATAATGCGCTGCGAGGAGACATTTAAAAATTCTGCTTATGAAGCTAAGAAGAGAGGCGATCGGGAACATAACCATGACATACAAAATACTCAGAAAACTTCCTTGAGCAAATTAGGACAAGCTGTCGGGATAAAAATATGAAACAAAGAAAGATTTTTTTAATGTTCTCTAAGATAAAATACAATGAAAACTAAGGAAATAAAAAGTCTAAAAATATAATAAGTTAACAATAGAAATGATACAGGAAAACTAGAATGGCAGAGTCAAACAAAGGAAAGGAATCAAAATATGAATAGCAAGGAGAAAAAAATTAATTTTAAAATGAAAAGGATGAAGCGACCGAAATAAAATAAATTGAATGAAACTGTAGAAAAAAATAAAAGATCGAAAAAATGTGGCAAACAAAGGAACAAAATCAACGGACGTACGACAGGCCAACACAAGTATTAATTTCTCCACTTTCGTTTCCACCAACAGAAATAATTACATCAGCAACGCTCGACAGAGAAAAAAAATGAATATTGCACAATGAAAAAAAAGTTGCAATATGTTGTTTTATTGTAAAGTGTCTCACTTAGCAAGAATTACATTTCAATATGTGCCATTATTTTCGGCTTTGTACACCAGGACGCCAGAGAGCCACTATCCTAAAGTGACCTGTGTAGTAATAATTATTTATATATACAAAATTACCACAGTGAAAAAAATTGTGCTATTCCAAGCGTTTTCGCAATTTCTCACATAATCAAGGAATAATGTATGAAATCACGATTATCAAGGAATAATGTAAGAAATCGAGATTTTTCACATTATTCCTTGATAATGTGAGAAACTACATCGTCAAGGAATAATATGAGAAATTATAATGGTATGAGAAATCGTAATTTCTTAGGAACAATTTCGTGAGAAATCGCAAAAAACGCTTGTAATTTCACTATTTTTTCTCTGTGCTTGTTTTATATATTGTTATATTACTTGTGACCTTATTGCATTATGAATAAATGTGCATACCTTCTCTGTGTTTTAATTCAATGGAAAATTAGCAAATATGGCGACTAAAATATGTATTTAAATAATATATATATATACAAGGAATTCGCGAGAGCATGCGAAATATACACAAACACTGATCTCTGGCTGAAGGAGACTCGAACCTACGAACCTTAGGACAAGGTACGCAGTGCTTTACCAATCTACCCACACTGGACAATACCTTGGCGTGTAGCATGCGCTACACGTTTTGATCCAAGGCAGCCAGATTTCAGGGAGAAGGCTTACAGCTTTTCATCTCATCCCTTGCATACATCAGCCTTACTAGAGATTTGAACAATGCAAGGAATTCGCGAGAGCAGGCGAAATATACACAAACACTGATCTCTGGCTGAAGGAGACTCGAACCTACGAACGTTAGGACAAGGTACGCAGTGCTTTACCAATCTACCCACACTGGACAATACCTTGGTGTGTAGCATGCGCTACACGTTTTGATCCAAGGCAGCCAGCCAGAGATCAGTGTTTGTGTATATTTCGCCTGCTCTCGCGAATTCCTTGCATTGTTCAAATCTCTAGTAAGGCTGATGCATGCAGGGGATGAGATGAAAAGCTGTAAGCCTTCTCCCTGAAAGCTGGCTGCCTTGGATCAAACGTGTAGCTCATGCTACAGGCCAAGGTATTGGCCAGTGTGGGTAGATTGGTAAAGCACTGCGTACCTTGTCCTAAGGTTTGTAGGTTCGAGTCTCCTTCAGCCAGAGATCAGTGTTTATATATATATATATATATATATATATATATATATATATATATATAATATATATATATATATGCAATAAGATCACAGTAAACAGGTTCCTTGATAATGTGAGTAGTCACGAAAGCGCTTGGAATTTCTCTATTCTTTCAGAGTGGTTGTTTTGCATATGTATATGTATATATATATATATATATATATATATTATATATATATATATATATATATATATATATATATATATATATATGCTATAATATAACAGTAAACAGGTGATATAAAAAATTTGCAAAATATCCACTGTGAAAGAATAGTGAAATTCCAAGCGTTTCGTGACTTCTCACATTATCAAGCTTTCAGTACATAGTGTGTACCTTCACTCAGCATCCACTTAAATCTAACTTTCCAAAGATACACGTGGTGGAAAAAATCATCTTTGTTGGGACGATGTTTTGCTCTTTGTAAAACACGACACAGTAAGAGCTTGTTGTGCGACATCTGCCTTCTTCTCAACCATGTAGAAAAAAACGCTTATAAGAATAAAGAGGGCATAAGAAAGTATTACCACTACAGTAGATGGGAAGGTAAGTTGAGACGGACGCGAAGAGAAGGTAGTCTGTTCTAAAACAATAATAAATTTAACAAATGTATAACAAAGTAGAGTAAAAAGGGCTCCACAACTAATGCTAATTTCCTGTAACTGTAAATAATAACTATTTACAAATTACAAATAAACCTGTATATCCACAATCAGCTTTGATATGCTGAATCATACCAAAAGCTTGTTTTTGTAGTTATAAAAACATAACTATCACAACCGCACACGTTAATTACTCCACCATCCCAAACTTAAACTTCTACATACACACACACACACACACACACACACACACACACACACACACACATGATAAATTTCCAACCAAATCACCTAGTACGTCTACCTGACGCTCAGAAAATAGCCTTGCATCTCCATCTGGCGTTCAGCAAATACAACGCACAACAGAAAATCTCGATTTAAGTTTTATTGGCAGATGCGACGAACGTAATCACAGCGTCCCTGATACACCAGTAATAATTAAGGTGTATTGTGCCATGTTTTGATAGAAGAGGCAGTGCGGTGTTCTCCCCAAGGCTGGGCAAGTTATGCATTTATAATAAAAAAGATGGCACAGGCGTAACGAGGATATGAAGGTTTTCGACAAGAGCACTGATGACCTATCTGGTAAGATAACGCCAGCCAGCCTCTCACCAGAGGTGATGAGCGAGTGCAAGCTGGGGCAGGTAAGAGGAAGATAAAGAGGGAAGAGGGAGGAAAGTGAGGCAGATAAACAGTGGGAGGAGGAGGAGGGCAAGTGAAGGGAAGAGGGAGTATCAGTGATTAACAGAATGAGGTAACAGAAGGGGCAAGTGAAGGGAGGAGAAAAGAGACAGAGTAGGGTAAAAGAGGATAATAAAAGATGGTTGGAAAAAAGGACGATAAGAGAAATATGAGAAAGATGAAGGGTAAAAATAACTAGAGAGAGGGAAGAGTGAGGCCAACATCCAAAGGCCGAATTTTATCCAATGAAGATGTTCTTAGTATGTGTACTTGCATCATTTCAACCAATAATAATAATAATAATAATAATAATAATAACAATAATAATAATAATAACAATAATAATATAATAAATAAAATTAGCCAAACTTAAGTCGACAAGCTAAGCAATTGCCAAAAACTGTAATTTTAACTTAAGTAAGCAGTGACATATATGATGGATCTGAATGTAAGGAATTACAGGTATTCTTCCCTTCGGCGCATTAAACGTAATAACCTGCTACATTCCTCAGGCCTGGTGTGACCCTTACTAATTTAGCGCATCTCCCATTATTATAACAATAATATTTGTATATATGATGCACAGGGTCCTTCTTGCCTGATTTGACACACAAGACGCTGCCTAACTTTTCAACACGTGAATGATATTCATTTTCTCTTAGCGGTGTTTTGATGCACAACTCCATGAACTACTCACAGAGCACGTTTTCTTGTCTTTTTTTCTTTCGTCGCTAATGGAAGAAACAGCTGCGTCGACTCGTTTTATACGAAATCCTGTAGCCAATCCACTTTCCGCAAGTCTGTGTTTGATCAGCCGTTTCCCAGCAGACCACCAGAGGCGCCGCCCAGCACGGCTGAGGGTGTCTGGGAAAGGCTCCAATTTAGCTCCTGAACAAAGCCAATAACGCCGTACAAAAGAATCAATCTCGAAGCACAGTGCTATTGATCAGCGAACTGTTTACCAGGGATTTGCCTCCCTAAAGGCAGGAAAGAGAGTGAATATTCTTGAGAGGGACGAGAAGAGCAAGTATTGTATTAATATACGAGAAGAACTCCACATTTCTGACACGTGAAGCAGGACCTCACTCATATTACTGATACTACGAGGGCTGGTTACCTAGTTTCTTCTGCAGATTTGGATCTTACGTCAAGAGTAGAACATGTATGAATTCTATTCACGAGAGTATCATTTTATATACTGTTACGACTTAATCTTCACCGTAACAATAGGGGCACAAGTAACTCCATTTTTTTTTTTTGTTAGTTTTATTTTATTACCAATCATTTAGTTTCATTGGTATTTGGTTAGTGAATTAAAATAACCACAAGCAATTATAAATGAAATACTATACAGCAAGAAATCCAATCTTACGTTCAAATTCTCATTAACAGAGTATGATACAATAATTTCAATTAATAATCAACTAATCTCACCATTTAACTCTTTTAGAAAGGTCTAGGGTAACGAAATAGTTATCTTTCATAAGTGACATGAATTACCAGACCTCAGGAAACTAATGGCAAAGGCAAGACAATAGACATGGTTTAAAGTTTTAGTTGAAGCTAGGAGCTTTGGGTTGAAGACCCGTACCGAGTCAGAGCTAGGAGCTGACTGACTCACTCAACTACTTCATAGTATGACTTCAGCTCTGCCAGAAGGCGACGCGTGGCGTCAATTCTAGAACCACCAATTGGTCACTACAGTAGTGGTTACACATTCGTAATACCTAACCTAATAATAATATAATATAATATTATAATTATAATAATCATGGGGAAAGATATAATATAATACAATATAATACAATGAGAGTACTGTTGATTCATACCGTACCCGATAATAATATATAGTCGAACCTGCTTTATCTAGCTAGTAATAAAGTGGTTCGCGATATATTATTACAGAACTTATTTTAACCAGGCCTTTTATTTTTGTATATAATGGAGTGAAGTAGGGGCGCGTAACATATACATATATTGTATAATTTAAAAAAAAAAAACAATATTTCACGAGCACTTCACACGTAAATCATACAGCGGCACAAACTTCGAAAGGAAAATTGTGATTTTTGGTTTAGTTCGTGTAATTCACACTCCTGTGCAAGAATGTATACTAGCACATTAATAATGCCGTTTCAATAATGTGCGAATCTGTGACATGAATTGGCTACATTAAGAAAAAGAGATTTTTATTATGAAGTTAAGACTCTCAGCGACGTCAGCTTTGGTCACTGTTATGAAGAGCCGACAAGCTGGGTATAAAGATACATAAGGAACAGCAACCTTTATTTTAGACGTATTGCTCAGCTTTGTTAATGCTTAATAAAGCTCACGTCTAAGCGAAACGTCGATTAAAATGAGGGCTTGTTTCACATTACGTTTCTTTCATAACCATGTTAAATTTCGTCTCAGCGCACAGTATGATACACATGTTTGTGCTTGGTGGTGCGGCTCAATGATAAAATTAGTATAAAGAATTGTAAAAATATTTCATATGTTTTCAGTTTTTAAACGAAATCAAGGCATATCGAAAATCTGATATACAGCAAAACAACATAAATATGTTCATCTTAACGTGTCTTTCTGTTTACCACTAACCTCGGGTACTCAAACACGTTCTCTCTAGATCTTCAATATTAAGAAGGCTAGAGAGGTAGAAAGATTGTAAGCTTGATATACGCCGGAATCATGGTCATCAAAACCACTCCCGACCTGGTGGTCAGCCCATAACATCGTCAAATCACTAACAACATTCAGCAAGACAACACTCAGTGGCAGCGTCTCTGATTTTTTGTCGCACCTTTCATCTCCTTCCAACGCTGTCACAAAGCTGTGAAGGACCTTCATTTTTTTTGTGGTGGTGGGGGGGGGGAGGGAGCTCTGTCCTTCCCACACCCGCCAAACTGAACTCGGCTCCTTCAAGTTCAACCTGTCCTTCAAAGCCCAGCATCTCACATCCCTCTACAGCTTTGCTCAGCCCCTTCCCAGCTCCTAATCAATCTTCCCCATCCCTCGACAATTTCCTCTGTTTCATATCTCCCGTTGTTTATTTACATCATCCCCTAATTCAGCTATATCAACTTCCCTATTCCTCTTCAACGAAGATCGACACCTTCTTCTTATCTTTAAGATGAGTTTCTGGATCCGGAAGCAGGAGACAGACTGTGTGTGTGTGTGTGTGTGTGTGTGTGTGTGTGTGTGTGTGTGTGTGTGTGTGTGTGTGTGTGTGTGTGTCTGTTTTGAGTTAAGCTTAATGTTTTGTGTCTTGGGATCTTCACTGGTGTAATGGAATTAGCAGACTCGGAGACAGTGTCTCTGGTAAAGTCCTTTTCATGCTGCCAGATTGTAGACACGCAGTGCGAGGTCCTCACTCGTGTTTACAAAACTGTGTAGAGCGTAATATAATTTTGCTTTGCTGTCTGTTTTATTGTACCTAAAAAGGTATCTATTAATTTTTTAGTTTTACTGTTACTGAAAGTGTTACCAAACAGGAAAAATAAATAGTTTGGATAGCTATACCCTTAATACGGGTTAGGAATTGTGCTCCTGTAGGTACTTACAATGTAAGATTACCAGCTTTTGTAGCAACGAACAATGAAGACGAGGCACTACAAACATGCCTGTGTTTCTGTACTTACAAATCTGAACCACTGAAGACAGGACATCACCAGCATAGTTGTGCTGCTGTAACTACAAATGCTGAAGACAGGACATCACTAGCATAGCTCTGCTGCTGTAGCTACAAATGCTGAAGACAGGACATCACCGGCATAGCTCTGCTGCTGTAGCTACAAATACTTAAGACAGAACGCCACCAGAATAACTAGTGTTGCTACAGCAGCAGTAGCTATAAATTGAAAAAAAAGAGTTATAAACTGAAAAAGGGAATAACCAGTAAGCATCAGAGACAAGCTGGGGCTCTCCCGGTAATGTGTGGCATTATGTTATCCCATTAGGTTTTAGTGTAAACTTTTGCCAACAAACATTTTTAGAGTTTTCATGCCATAAAACAAAAAAAAAACTTCGGTGCCGGTTTTTTTTTTTTAATTTTTAGTGCATTTTTTATGGGTACGAGAGTAAAAATATAGTTAGTTTTTTATGTTTCTCCGACTGATGGCATTCAAAATGAGTATTGCGATAATATGCTGTAAGATTATTACAGTTCTCTATGTTTCAAAGACACTTCAAAAATTATACTTCATATATTTTACGATAATGAAAATTCGACATGATTAATGATTTTTCAGACAACAAATGCGTAATGAAAAACTCTGTAAATAAGAGTCATATACGTACAATATATATACAAGTTTGCGATGAAATATGTATTAATTATAAGACAGGAATATCAAATCAATTGTCTTCATTTACTTCCTGCTCATCACTTTGCTTTCATCTCCATCATCTTCATCGCAGTGCTCATCAATCGTGACCTCAAAAACTTGACCGTCACTCGCTGTTGCACAGTCGTAGCTATCAGTACCTCAGTAACCTCACAGGTCACTTGCTAGTTCATAACTGTAACTGTACAGAGAAAGTCAGCTTTTCTCTCACCATCACCGAGTGCACCAGCATTTGCTTTCCGATCAACACTAATTATAATAACGCATGGTGTTGCCTGGCATGTATCGGTCAGGAACAAGCTCCTAGCAGCGAAGTCAGATCAGCGACTGACATAGTCTATTGCGGCCAAGTTTGCGGATGAGAGTAAACGTGTCTGGGCTTGTTTATGATGATTCCAGATCACTGCCTTGTTCTGTGCTCGTCATGAAGGAGTAAACAGAACATCTGTTGTTGCTGGCAATGTCTCCGTTTCTGTTTGTCTTGTAGGAAAAAGAGTCCATCTCACTTGGTTAATGTCGTTAACATTTGTTCTGATGAATGCTACTCTCACTCAAGCTATTCAGTATCTTTTACAGTTTCTTCAGTTTATTTTATTTATAGAGAAGTCTAAAACCTGTAAAGATCAAACGGCGACAGAGTAATAGGAGTGGGAAGGGATGGGGGGTTAATCAGGTCTATTCCGAGCGACGAGATAGTAGCTCCAATTATTTGAACCAGAATTCCTTCGCCGGCATCAAAGCAGCCAACTCCCTTAAAGGAACAGCGTCTTTAGAAGGGTGGTTTATTGTTACCTGCCAAGAACAGTGCACGCTTCAAGTATTTTTTATCTAACTTTGCGAAGGGTACCCCATCAATTTTTCTTGCGTTTGCCATAAAATTTTCTGTGCCACAGCCAACAAAGCTGTAAAAGTCAGGTAATGCAACAACCAATATCAAAACGTTCAACATTTTGGATTCAATATTACGGTAAAGTGCTCGGCAGCTACACCTGTGATGAAACCCGTTTCATCTCTGGTCAGTATGAACACATCTGTCCAAGGACAGATGTGTTCATGCTGTGCATCTAATATTTGCAAGAACACTGCTTCAGTTGTCACATCTTGAGATGGTCAATAGGTATCCAACTTCATTTTAACTACGTATCTATCTTCCCTAACTGTCTGGCTAGCACGTGTAGCATAGAGTAGTGACGTTAAACATTCCTTTACATTATTACAACAACGTTATCTTTACCGGTGAGGCTTCCAAAGATTTTTGAGCCAAAAATCTGCCAGGCTGTTGCTTCAATTTCTTGTTGGGTAGAAAGTAAAAAGAATTGACTTTTATTGGAGCTAAATTATTGCACATGCATTTTTCTGTCACTTGATTGATGGTCTGTACGTCAAGCTCGGATTTCCTGTCAGTGTAATCACAGTGTCATATTAATATAACATAACAAGTGATGATTCATATCTTCAAAAATCTGTTTATGTACAATAAGGAAAACCTGAGCAAGGTTTTCACGGCTTTTACCTTTTCCTTGCTGGTACGGAGGTTTTGAAGAATTGATAGCTTGATTATGATTACAACTATTTTTTTTTTTGGCTCGGATAATTCTCTTCAGTGACATCTTCCAACCTGCCCACAATTTTATCAACTTTCCCAAGAGCTGCAGAGTTTAAATGCAAGTTTTACAACGAACCAATCACGCTCGTTTTGCTTCGAAAAGGAAGTTCATTTCCAGTACTTGCAAAATGTGCAAGCGACAAATTGGAAACTCCAACTTTCCAACTGCATCTTGGATATTTATTCCTGACCAAATACGAGCTGCAGTAGCTTCCTGGAACGACAGGAACCATTTTTATTTATTTTAAGTGCCTTATTGTCCACATTCACTGGAATTGGACATTCCAGTGAATGGAATAGGTCTAAATTTTCAATTTTAACATAATGTTCTGTCCCATGATTTATATCTCCAAAAACACGATTTGATAAACAAGGGGCCAAATGCATCACGTCGTAGGTCATATCAAAATTCATATAGCATGACGGATTGTACAACATAAGTTCTCTAGTTTTGTAGTCTCAGTTTTCAGAGGGCTGGGGACTTCCATAACAGACGTTAAAATGCTGACTGTTCTTGGCGTCTAATTGGAGTAGTAGAAGTCTAGGGATGGCGCAGTCATCTAACTTTTGGAACATCAACCAGGTTATCTGCCTCAGTAGGCAGCTACGCCAACTCTGGAGCAACAAGAAAATGAATAAATTTTGTTGGGTATCATATTATATCTGTTGGCGCACCATGTATTTCCGTCTTAATATTTACTAACTCCCTTGCATGTTCCATCACAATGCTTGTAAATTTCAAGTCAGTTTTCTTGACATCAGTGTTCCTATTGCCGAAGGTTTCCCAAATATGCGGATCGGTACATCGTATCTCATAAACTTTTCCCGGCGGCTCGGGAATGTTCAACGTATATTTCAACATGTTCTGATTGAAGAAATGTGAGCAGAGTTGTTTTATAGCAAGAACACAAGAGCTTCACGAGGTTAAGATGAATGCAAGTAATAATTTACATCTTGTAATCTACATTTTTATGGATATGACTACAGTACTCACTCATGGATATGACTACAGTACTCAATCATGGATATGACTACAGTACTCACTCATGGATATGACTACAGTACTCATGGATATGACTACAGTACTCACTCAGAGATATGACTACAGTACTCACTCATGGATATGACTACAGTACTCATGGATATGACTATAGTATTCACTCAGGGATATGACTACAGTACTCACTCAGGGATATGACTACAGTACTCATGGATATGACTATAGTATTCACTCAGGGATATGACTACAGTACTCACTCATGGATATGACTACAGTACTCACTCATGGATATGACTACAGTACTCACTCATGGATATGACTACAGTACTCACTCATGGATATGACTACAGTACTCATGGATATGACTACAGTACTCACTCATGGATATGACTACAGTACTCACTCAGGGAATGATACAGTATCATGGAATGACTACAGTACTCACTCATGGATATGACTACAGTACTCACTCATGGATATGACTACAGTACTCATGGATATGACTACAGTACTCACTCAGGGATATGACTACAGTACTCACTCATGGATATGACTACAGTACTCACTCATGGATATGACTACAGTACTCAGGATTGACTACAGACACTCATGGATGACTCAGTACTCACTCATGGATATACTACGTACTCACTATGGATATATCAGTACTCATGGATATGACTACAGTACTCACTCAGAGATATGACTACAGTACACATGGATATGACTATAATATTCACTCAGGGATATGACTACAGTACTCACTCAGGGATATGACTACAGTACTCACTCATGGATATAACTACAGTACTCACTCAGGGATATGACTACAGTACTCACTCAGGGATATGACTACAGTACTCATGGATATGACTATAGTATTCACTCAGGGATATGACTACAGTACTCACTCAGGGATATGACTACAGTACTCATGGACATGACTATAGTATTCACTCAGGGATATGACTACAGTACTCACTCATGGATATGACTACAGTACTCACTCATGGATATAACTACAGTACTCACTCATGGATATGACTACAATACTCACTCATGGATATGACTACAGTACTCATGGATATGACTACAGTACTCACTCAGGGATATGACTACAGTACTCACTCATGGATATGACTGCAGTACTTACTCATGGATATGACTACAATACTCGCTCAGGGATATGACTACAGCACTCACTCATGGATATGACTACAGTACTCAATCATGGATACGACCACAGTACTCACTCAGTGATATGACTACAGTATTCACTAATAGATATGACTACAGTACTCACTCAAGGATATGACTACAGTACTCACTCATGGATATGCCTACAGTACTCACTCATGGATATGACTACAGTACTCACTCATGAATATGACTACAGTACCAGGATATGCACGACTCTATGGATATGACTACAGTACTCAGTCATGGATATGACTACAGTACTCACTCATGGATATGACTACAGTACTTGCTCATGGATATGACTATAGTACTCAGGGATACGGCTACAGTACTCACTCAGGTATATGACTACAGTACTCACTCAGGTATATGACTACAGTACTCACTCAGGTATATGACTACAGTACTCACTCAGATATATGACTACAGTACTCACTCAGGTATATGACTACAGTACTCACTCATGGATATGACTACAGTACATAATTGCTCATACCATCAGTATGACTAAGTACTCACTGGAGATACAGGTACTACAGTACTCACTCAGATATATGACTACAGTACTCACTCAGGTATATGACTACAGTACTCACTCATGGATATGACTACAGTACTTGCTCATGGATATGACTATAGTACTCAGGGATACGGCTACAGTACTCACTCAGGTATATGACTACAGTACTCACTCAGGTATATGACTACAGTACTCACTCAGATATATGACTACAGTACTCACTCAGATATATGACTACAGTACTCACTCAGATATACTACGTACTCATCAGGTATATACTCACTCACTCAGGTATATGACTACATACTCACTCAGGATATATGACTACAGTACTCACTCAGTATATGACTACAGTACTCACTCAGTATATGACTACAGTACTCACTCAGGTATATGACTACAGTACTCACTCAGGTATATACTACAGTACTCACTCAGATATATGACAGTACTCACTCAGATATTACTACAGTACTCTCAGGTATATTGACTACAGTACTCACTCAGATATATGACTACAGTACTCACTCAGATATATGACTTACAGTACTCACTCAGGTATATGACTACAGTACTCACTCAGATATATGACTACAGTACTCACTCAGGTATATGACTTCAGTACTCACTCAGATATATGACTACAGTACTCACTCAGATATATGACTACAGTACTCACTCAGATATATGACTTCAGTACTCACTCAGATATATGACTACAGTATCACTAGTATATACTACAGTCTCATCAGATATATGACTACAGTACTCACTCAGTATATGACTCAGTACTCACTCAGATATATGACTAGTACTCACTCAGTATATGACTACAGTACTCACTCAGAATATATCAGTACATCAGTATGACTACAGTACTCACTCAGATATATAGTACTACTCAGAATATACTACAGTACTCTCAGGTATATGACTACAGTACTCACTCAGATATATTACTACAGTACTCACTCAGATATATGACTACAGTACTCACTCAGATATATGACTACAGTACTCACTCAGGTATATGACTACAGTACTCACTCAGATATATGACTACAGTACTCACTCAGGTATATGACTACAGTACTCACTCAGATATATGACTACAGTACTCACTCAGATATATGACTACAGTACTCACTCAGGTATATGACTACAGTACTCACTCAGATATATGACTACAGTACTCACTCAGATATATGACTACAGTACTCACTCAGATATATGACTACAGGACTCACTCAGGTATATGACTACAGTACTCACTCAGATATATGACTACAGTACTCACTCAGGTATATGACTACAGTACTCACTCAGGTATATGACTACAGTACTCACTCAGATATATGACTACAGTACTCACTCAGGTATATGACTACAGTACTCACTCAGGTATATGACTACAGTACTCACTCAGATATATTACTACAGTACTCACTCAG